AAGATCAAGTCAAAGCTCGAATATCAAGGAATCATACCAAAAACTCAAGTATGCTCTCTCTCTGCTCTGGATTGCTCTCTCAAGTGCTCCATCCTTTGGATGCTCTATGATCAGCCCCCTTGGATGCTCTCTAATTAGCCCCCCTTTTGTCACCATTTTCCCACTACCTAAATCCATCCTTTTATGATGTTAGTGGGTCTCTTTTCAGTTTGTAACCATCTCTCCACGTTTATGATTGATCTCAAGTAGTTATGAAGTCAAAAAACCATAAAAAAACATGTTGTAACCAACTCTATGGCCGAGACAGTAAAGTCTGTCTCGCACTTTCGATACAGTTTGTATTGTCTCGGGTATTTTGGCTCTAACTCCCTCGTCCGATATCGGAATGAGATGATCCAAGATGCGTTGGAAAGCTGACGAAGAGATATACAACTTTTGTCTTTTGGCCTTCTTCAGATTTGGTACGAGACAGTCATGACTGTCTCGCATTCCGAGACAGTGAAGTCTGTCTCGCACTTCCGAGACAGTTTGTATTGTCTCAGGTATTTTGGCTCTAACTCCCTCGTCTGATATCGGAATGAGATGATCCAAGATGCATTGGAAAGCTGACGAAGAGATATACAACTTTTATCTTTTTACTTTCTTCAGATTTGGTGCGAGACAGTCATGACTGTCTCGCATTCCGAGACAGTGAAGTCTGTCTCGCACTTCCGAGACAGTTTGTGTTGTCTCGGGTGTTTTGGCTCTAACTCCCTCGTTCGATCTCGGAATGAGATGATCCAAGATGAGTTGGAAAGCTGATGAAGAGATATACAACTTTTGTCTTTTAACCTTCTTCAGATTTGGTGCGAGACAGTCATGACTGTCTCGCATTCCGAGACAGTGAAGTCTGTCTCGCACTTTCGAGATAGTTTGTGTTGTCTCGGGTATTTTGGCTCTAACTCCATCGTCCGATCTCGGAATGAGATGATCCAAGATGAGTTAGAAAGATAACGAAGAGATCTACAACTTTTGTCTTTTGACCTTCTTCATATTTAGTGCGAGACAGTCATGACTGTCTCGTATTCCGAGACAATGAAGTCTGTCTCGCACTTCCGAGACAGTTTGTGTTGTCTCGGGTATTTTGGCTCTAACTCCATCGTCCGATCTCGGAATGAGATGATCCAAGATGCGTTAGAAAGCTGACGAAGAGATATACAACTTTTGTCTTTTGACCTTCTTCAGATTTGGTACGAGACAGTCATGACTGTCTCGCATTCCCAGACAGTGAAGTCTGTCTCGCACTTCCGAGACAGTTTGTGTTGTCTCGGGTATTTTGGCTCTAACTCCCTCGTTCGATATCGGAAGTTAGTGGGCCTATTTTCAGTTTGTAACTATCTCCCCACGTTTATGGTTGATCTCAAGTAGTTATGAAGCCAAAAAACCGTCAAAAAACGTGTTGTAACCAACTCTCGCATTCCGAGACAGTGAAGTCTGTCTCGCACTTCCGAGACAGTTTGTATTGTCTCAGGTATTTTAGCTCTAACTCCCTCGTCCGATATCGGAATGAGATGATCCAAGATGCGTTGGAAAGCTGACGAAGAGATCTACAACTTTTATTTTTTGACTTTCTTCATATTTGGTGCGAGACAGTCATGACTGTCTCGCATTCCGAGACAGTGAAGTCTGTCTCGCACTTCCGAGACAGTTTGTGTTGTCTCGGGTATTTTGGCTCTAACTCCCTCGTTCGATCTCGGAATGAGATGATACAAGATGAGTTGGAAAGCTGATGAAGAGATATACAACTTTTGTCTTTTAACCTTCTTTAGATTTGGTGCGAGACAGTCATGACTGTCTCGCATTCCGAGACAGTGAAGTCTGTCTCGCACTTTCGAGATAGTTTGTGTTGTCTCGGGTATTTTGGCTCTAACTCCATCGTCCGATCTCGGAATGAGATGATCCAAGATGCGTTGGAAAGCTGACGAAGAGATATACAACTTTTGTCTTTTGGCCTTCTTCAGATTTGGTACGAGACAGTCATGACTGTCTCGCATTCCGAGACAGTGAAGTCTGTCTCGCACTTCCGAGACAGTTTGTATTATCTCAGGTATTTTGGCTCTAACTCCCTCGTCCGATATCGGAATGAGATGATCCAAGATGCGTTGGAAAGCTAACGAAGAGATCTACAACTTTTATCTTTTGATTTTCTTCAGATTTGGTGCGAGACAGTCATGACTGTCTCGCATTCCGAGACAGTGAAGTCTGTCTCGCACTTCCGAGACAGTTTGTGCTGTCTCGGGTATTTTGGCTCTAACTCCCTCGTTCGATCTCGGAATTTGATGATCCAAGATGAGTTGGAAAGCTGATGAAGAGATATACAACTTTTGTCTTTTAACCTTCTTCAGATTTGGTGCGAGACAGTCATGACTGTCTCGCATTACGAGACAGTGAAGTTTGTCTCGCACTTTCGAGACAGTTTGTGTTGTCTCGGGTATTTTGGCTCTAACTCCCTCGTCCGATCTCGGAATGAGATGATCCAAGATGCGTTGGAAAGCTCATGAAGAGATCTACAACTTTCTATAGGCAAGACACGCATAGAGTAGATGAGACACATATGGTACTTCACCCTTTTGTGCATAAAGCACAACTCCTGGTTGAGTTGTTCCTTTATCGTTTAGCATGTTTCACAGACTCGTACGCTTCGCCGACTTATTTCGTGTGCTTTTTAGATTCTCTACAATATCAGATGATCTTCTTTGACTCAGATAATCCTCCTTAACTCGGATAGTAACATTCATCGTCTTTTTTTTTCATCTCGAGCTATATGCGAGAACCTATAGGCAATTTTTTATGCCTACAATAACCACATTAGATATCAATTATAACATGGGAAATTTGCTTCAAGGCCCCAAAATTCAAGTTTCAATCTGTCTCAGCCCCTTCACATTTTTTTTAATGTGCTGCAGCCCTTTTTTTTAACTGTGTCCATGGCTCTCCATCATCATTCCAGCTCATGATTAGACATGCCAGCTCCTAAAATCCTAATCTTATCCTTTCTCTTTCTCATGTCAGCTCATCCCAACTCATGTTAACTATTATAGATAACATGTTAACTATTATAATTTCATAAATATGTTTTGCGCTCAATTGTGAATTGTAGTAGTTAACATGTTACCTATAATAGTTAACATGTTAACTATAATAGTTAACATGAGACGCGAAGTTTCTCGGGACGGTGCTGGCGACAGAGCGGAAGAGGGAGGTAGGGGAGGGGGGCCGGAGGAGGAGGAGGAAGGTGTAGGGGGGAGGTGCAGCGGGGGAGGGAGGTGTAGGAGGGGAGGGAGGCAGAGCTG